GATCCCAGACCCTCACAACCGCCCGCCTTACCAGCTCTCACCTACGCATCCCTGAAAATGAGCCAGTGGCGGAGACTTTCCTCCGCTGAGCCAGGCGGTGCGGAAGTTCAGGGACTCCCACGTGCCTGCCCACCGTGACCCCCAACTCCCAGCCAGCCTAGCCTCCCCGAGTGCTGCTCCCAGGCTTCTGCTACACCTGAGGGACGGGAAGGTGTCACTGGCCCTCAGCTGGAGACGGGCTGGCTTTCTCTACTCAGCATCCAGGTGTGACAAAGAGCCTGCCTAACCCTAGAAGAGCAGCCACAGGGAAGCCTCACGAACCAGTCTCCCCATGTCCCACCCCTCGCTCCCGGTGGCTCCCTTAGTCTCTGAAGACAGGTGAGCAGGGCAGAGTGCTCCCTCTGTCCTCCCCCCACTCCTGGTGGCCCAGGGCACGTAGCCCGGCAGGAGGAAAATGCTCAGGACCCACACCCATGGCACCCCGAGCGGTTCTCCAGAGCCTGACACCGGCTGTGCCGGATCAGTGTCCTAAAGGCCACGCTAGCTACCCAACGCCTGACCAGAGGCCAAGGGGGCTCCTGGGTGACAGCTCCCAGCACTGGCTGTCACGCCAGAGGACAGGTAAGAAGGCCAGGCCACACTGGAGCACAGGCCCCGGGGCAAGCCAGCAGCAGGCTGAGTGCCGCCACTCCTCTACGGGCCGTGCGCTCGCGTGGCGCTCTGTGCGCTGGCAGCGAGGACCGGGGAGCAGGACGGAATCTGGATGCTGAGCTCACGAGGCTCCCAGTGCCCAGCCCCAGCGCAGAGAGCTCGCTCAGCACTTCCCCAGGCCTGGCCCCTGGGAGCAGGAGGACACTGTCCCTGCTGCCAGGGCAAGGAGCCCGATGCCAGAGGGACGGCTCGGGAGGAGCCTGCCAGCGGAACCAACCAGCCGGCGCACCGTGCTCGCCTCTGCAGACCCGAAGGGGAGGTCACCGTACTGCCGAGCGGCAAGGAGCCCAGACCTGGGGAGCAAGACACGGACTCAACCTTCAGCCACGTGTGCCGTGCAAGACCACAGCACGCCGTCTCCACGTGGAAGTGGAGGCACCACGGCCAACCTCACCCGGTCCGGAGGTGACAGGGCGACGTGCGCGGAGGACCTGGCCCGCGCTGGCGCAGTTCAAGGGTGGGTATTACCAGAGGACACACGGGCCTCTGGGGTCCCACGCTCAGCAGCCCCCTTCCGGTCACATCCTGTCACCTCCTGCTTGCGTCTGCTTTCTGAGGACAAGGTTACAGGGAAACAGGTGTGTCACACTATCTGATCAGTGGCTGCGTGATTTCCCTGTTCCCTGCAGACTCGGCCGCTTTCATTTTTAAGGCCTGATTCCGCCCCGTTGGCAGCGCTACTTGACTGCGTGGATGAATGTTAAACCCCAGCTCGGCCAGATCTGCATCGGAAGCCGTGACTTTGCTCTGCACCCTGCTCTCCGCCCACGTCCGCCTGCGCCCCGCCTGCCCGTGGCAGGAGAGGCTCCTGACTTTGGTTTTGAAGAGGACAGGCCCTCTGCCCTCCTGCCATCGGCACCCTGTGCCATCGCCACTGCGGCCCAGCACCCAGCCTGGTAAACTGACAGCAGGAGGCCGCGCTGCGGGACAGGGCCCTGGCCCACTTGGGTTTGGGCAGCCGGCCTCATCCCTGCGCTGTGCCAGGCCTCGCCTTCCTTCCCACAGGAACTCGAGGCCGGCCCGGCCCGGCCCGACCCAGGCCCCTCCGGGCCTTCCTGGGTCCCAGGTCCTGCTTAACGAGATGCGGGGAAGGAGGGGGTGGAGGAGAGCTGACCCTTTGGGTTGGCAGCGTTGGCAGCGGCGCCACCCAGACATTTTATCTATTAAGCCGATTGGGTTGTGAAACTCACTTGCAAAACCAGGGCCTCCCGGCTGAAGAGCCCTGTGTGGGAGCTCCCCGTCCCCCCCGGCGGTTCCCCATGGTGTTCGCCAGCCCCCTTCCCGAGAGGGGCCCACGTTTAAGTTGTGTCAACGCACAAACCGCCACCGTGGGAAAAACTCCTCCTCCCGGTTGAGACCCCCCTCCCCCCGCATTAGTCTTAAATGCTCGGGTCACAGGAACAGGGCGACCCAATTCCGAGGCCACACTAGAGGGTGTCACCACCCCTGGGGCAACGGGAAGCCCTT